CTGGGATGATCAATGTCCTTAAGAGAGTCAAGAGTCCTCTTAGTCACTGTTTCTGAGGTCACTGACACAGGCCTGCCTTAATTACCAGTCCAACCCACAGAGTCCCAGGCTGCTTTGGTTCTGGGGGGTCAACCTGCTGGGGTTGTTTTTTTTCCTGAAATGGGTACCAGCTTTCCAGGTGGTGTCTTTTCTTCTGGGCCATGTTCCACAGGCACCGTTATGTTTCAGGGCATCTTGGGGTGCTCCAGGGACAGATTCTTCTCCCACCCTGTGGCTTTGCTTGGAGTGAACTCCATGTACCCTGTTCCTTTCCAACACCAGGAACTCCACCCTCATGACTAGCGAGGGACTATCACAAACCCCACTTCAGTTCGTACTTCCTCTTGGTCCTAGAACTCTGGCAGTTTTCTCCCTCTAAGAATGACAGGCAGACGCAGCTGTGTGGATGGATGCACACAGGTGGAAAAAGCTGTGAAAGCCACCTCCTCTGTCCTCCTCCACCTCAGGGACCCCATGTACTTCTGTTACCATAAACAGTAACCTTTTAGCCAGAAGCTTAGAGAAAGACTAAAATTTTCTCTACATGTAGGGACTGCTACAACTGGGACTCCTCGGAAATCATCAGCCCTTGTAATAGTACTCCTATTACTGTACTGGGTTAAGAAAAGGAGCAGACAAATGGAGGCTAGTGCAAGACTTGTACATCTCATCAATGAGGCTGTGGTGCTAATGCTTCTGGTTGTCCTTATCACCAACACCTTGATCCAAATTCTGGCCTCAGCCATTTGGTTTTTGATCCTGGATCTTAAGAATGCCTTTTTCTGCAAAGCCCTGATACCGGAGAGCCAAGATCTTTCTGCTTTTGAGAGTCCCCTCACAAGATTGAGATAACTGGGCCAGGGAGACAGCGCAGTAGAATAGTGCCTGTCTGGCAAGTGCAAGCTCCTGAGTTCAATCCCCGGTACCATACACACAAAAAGAGATAACGGACCTGGACAGTTCTTCAAGGTTTTCATCACAGCTCTCACTTTTGTGGATTGGCCTTTGCCCAAAATCCCCTAGACTGAAAGGAGGAAGGAATTTTCCTTCTCCAATGTGTGGATCATTTGAGAGAAGACTAAAGGTGCAATGCATAGGACAACCAAGTCTCTCCCAACATCCTGGACTCCCAGGGCTAAAAGATGTCCCATGAAAAGGCCTACCTCTGTCAGACTCAAGTTACTTACTTGAATGTGTTTATCTCACATGGCAGGAGGGCTCGGAGCCCTGGGAGGATACAGCCTATAGTGGACTTCCCACAGCTGAGCATACTAAGAGCATGTTTTGGAGAATCTGGATCCCTGAATATGCTGAAAAAACTCAACCCCTTTGCTAACCTCTCAGTGACTCAGAAGGCTCAGACCCATCTCCTCGCTTGTAGCCCTGTGGCTCACTGTACTTTTCAGGAATTAGGTAAGCCCTACCAGAGGCCTCTTGGGGTATGGCTCTCCAATCAATACTAATATTCTCTCTTTTTGACAGACATGGGTTGCTTTGAAGGTCCTCCCTTATCCAAACCTTGGGAACAAAATCAGCCCATAGCTTACTTAAGCAAGAAATGAAATCTAGTGTCAAAGGAATAGGCTACTTGCAGGGGCTGACCATGGGTGGGGGTGGGTGGGTGGTGGGTGGTATGTTGGTTTCTAAAGTCTATAAACTACCTCAGGATGAGCACTTATGGTAAAGTCTCCCCTTGACATTGGGAGGCTCCTGAGGGACCAATTTAACCCTGGGTATCAGATACCCAGACTTTAAATTACCAAATCCTCTTACTGTGATAGGGACTGACCATACGGAGGTTGTTTATGGCCTTAGGAGGGTTTTCCTACCCTTTGGAAGGGTGCTGCTCTCTGCCCTTTCCTAAGAAAACAACACTTCCCTATCTATGCTTGGTGGGAGCTCTGGCTCCTGACCCATGTTGACTGCTGGATCTGCTTTCCACTCCCAAACACTTCACTACCCTGGCTCCAGATCTACCTGTAATTGTATCCTAGTAAGGTCCACTTTACCCAACAAAATCTTAACAGTCTTAAACCATTTCTTTTTTTTCACTGGATCACTATGTCAGTTGTGGAGAACATGCTCTTGGTTGACTGGATTTGGCTAGGATACTGATTCTGGTTTTAATGAGAAAAAAGCCAAAGTGTGGGGAAAAGGGAAATTTTTATTCATTGAGCGTCAATAAACAAGGAAGCTTGGTAAGTCTATCTTCCTCAGATAGGGCAGGACCTTGGACGTTACTTGCGGATCACAGTAAAGACTCGTACCTTCTGGTCAATCTTTTTTATCCACCTGAAGCTAACTGTACCTTGACATGACCCATTTGTGATGGGATTCAAGATGGTATGTACTCTTGGTCCATGGCTTGGTGGCAATATTTGATGTGTCAAGTCTGGAAGTCACCTTTAGTCACTTTGCTGGGACTTACTTCTTATACTTACCTCTTGGAGATTCTCACCACAAAGTCTAATTTGTCTGAAAGTCCTCTTTTATGCCCCTTCTAGATTCCTCTTTTATGGAAACAAGTAAAATCATGATGGGGAATTTTTATAATCTTGGGGATTACATTGCCTCCATTTCCACAGAAGCAGAGGAACCTGGGGCTTAATAAAATTGTGGCTATCCCTAAATACTGTATAGGATTTAATCCAGACCTCTGTGTAGCAGAGTTTTGACCTCAGGGACCAGTAGAATCAAGAGAATTTTCTCAACATAAAAAGGGAACCTCTTATAGTCTTAAGGATCATGGCAGTCACAGCAGCCCTTGTGAAACTAACCTTGGAAATAGTTCAAATTCAGTACAAATCTCAAACCTCCCTCCCACTGCACCAGAAGTTACCCAGTTAACTAGCAATTTCAAAGATGTCTAATGATCCTTGGATTCAGGTGGATATAGATGGCATGTATGGTTTTAGAACATAAGCAAGTATTAGACTACATACTGGTCTATCATGGAGGTGTCTTGCAGTTTTTAATGGAAACTGCTGGACCTATATTATTACCTCTTAATATGTTAAGAATCAGATTGTCACTCTGGATAAGACTAAGTGGCTCCATGACCAGTGGGTGACCCAAATTTTCTCTCAGAATAAAATCTGGCTTCCTTTTACATTCACTTGAATTCTTCTACTTTTGGGACCCTTGGCTTCTCTCTTGTTGTGTGTGTTTGGCCTTTTTATACTAAACCGCTTTACCCAGTTAATTTCAGATGGAATAAATGCTATTAAGATGCAAATGGTCCTTCAGATGGAGCCCACCTGGGGGTTCCTCCTTCCTCTTACCATGGCCCTTAGGATCAACCTCCTGATGGACACCATCCATGGTCCCACCCGGCATCTGGTTGACTGTTTCCAGGGGGAGGAAGGTAGGGACAGATAGAAGCCCCTGGGTAGGGTCAGAAATGAGATGCAGGCCCATTACAGCTTAGGAGAAAAACAGATCTCTGCAGTGTTCAGAGAATGTAAACAAGGGGCAACCTACCATTTTGTTTTTGTAATATTACTACAATAACACCCACTCAACATGCTGTATCAGCTTACCAACAACAATAACAACAAAAAAAAGTAGGTGGGACTCCCTCCGAGGGAGGGACCACCACCTCAACCTCATAAAAACAGCACCATGGCTCCATACTTAGCAGTTACCCGGCTCTGCCCAGCCGCACTCCACAGAATGCACTGCATTTCTTTCTTCTGTTGATAAAATTTACTGTCTTTGCACTATCTTCGGATCCCTCTTCAAGCTGTTTCTGCCATCAGAGAGAGATAAGCTCCGAAAATTCTACAGCTAGTACTGAAGATCAAATTATTACATACAAATGTAAGACATTTAATAAGTGTGACACTTTGGTCAGGGGTTTAATAACTCACAACCAAACATAACATCAGTTATGGTTTTATGAAGAAAATGTACACAGCTAGCTTGTATGCTATTCCTGGTACACTACTGAATATTTAGAAACTTTAGGACTGAAACAGTTACTGATATTTTGGTTATTTAAGGATCAGTTTGCTCTGGATTAGGACAATATTTCAGCAGAAATGGACAAGGGGCTCAGACACACACTATAAAAACATGATTAAGTGAATGTAATTCTGGACCAAGAAGAACAAAGAGTAGAGTAGGAATTAATGTGAGGTCTAGTCTTATCACTCTTACAAATGGTTTGTAGGAAGCAATACAGGAATATCTCCAAACCCGTTGGAGCTCTGCTAGCTGACAGAAACAACTATAACAAGATTGAAGGAGGTATGGTTAGGGTGAGTGGAGATTCAGACAGGATGGACTAGTAAGGGAAACGAGGCAAAACAAAACAAAACAAAAAAAAAAATCTTACAATAGTAAGATGCTGTCTACGACAGTGAGATACAAAAGATTATCTCCTGACTGACAGAAGTATTCCTTGAAAACAATCAAGTGTATCACTACAAAAATCAAATCCTGGGCATGGACAGGAAGGCTAGCAGAAGACATAGTACATTTGTTCAAACTATGGTACACCATACAATGAGAAGTGGGGTACCCAGAGCTGGGTAACTGCCTGATGTGGTCAGTGGTCTTCCATTTATGGGGTTGAGGTGGTACCTTTCTCTGGGGGCAGCCCTACCCTGTTGGCTGATTAGTTTGGTGCTAGGCTGATGGAGGAACTTGAGTACCAATGGAATAATTGAGACAACTGCAGAGGTTATTTTTCTCCTAAGTTTCAAAGGGGCTGTATTGGAGTAGGGATATAGCTCAGCGGTACAGTGCCTGCCTAGCAAGCAGCAGTTCAATTGAGGTACCAAAAAAGAACATAATTTTAAGAAAGACAAAAAAAAAAGAAAAAAAAAAAGACCCTTTTAAGGGGCTGTATTTCTCTTCTGACCCTCCTTAGGGATCTATTCCTACAACAATCTAAATTCATGTGGTAAAAGTGATATTTTTCCAGGTCTCCCATACGTATTTTAGTCACAATTCCTTACCTTTGATGGAGGGTTTGGCAATGGAGCTGAAATTTCTGGAAGCCTAAGGAAGTTTAAAAAACAGAGTCACAGTCTTGGTTTTTCACAGACAAGCAAATAGAGGCTGGGCCCATTTAAAATTTGGGGAGTCTTTCTTTTTTCATAGCATTGCTTCAACAGATCTTGTGCCATTATTTCAGAGTAAAAAATAAAATTTCTATGAATAGATGAATCTTATTTTACTACTTAATGCCTAATGTTGGAATTATCAAAAGAAAAAAAATTTAAACCATCTGTTGAAATAGAGTTTGTCTATACCCTCAATGTTGTGTTTTGGAATTGAAATGCTTCTTCATAAATAATGGTACTAATATTTATTTAAAAGTGAAAATTATTGTAACTATTGACAAAAGCCAAATAAACTTTACTGTTGCTCCCACTAAAGAGAAGTTTAATTGGTCTCTCTCCACAAATGTTTAACTCCAAATTAAAAATTTCAGGTGAATCAGACCCACATGTGCAAATATCCTATTGTCTCCCTAGTGTAAGAACTCAAAAGAAGTTAAGTGGAAAGAGAACTTAAGGATTAAACAACTAAGAGAGAGAAAGGAGAAAAGTCAGGAAATATGGCCGGAGCAAAACCATACATTTATATAAACAAGATGATTAAGACAATGGCCCTAAGAATCTCCATCAGGTTTTTGAAAATAGCAGTTAGTGGGTAGAATTCTCACTCTGACTAACTATATATGCTGATATCTGTGAACTAAGCAACTACACTGGGGACGGTAACGTGTAATACTATAACCACGCTTGAAATACCTGTCATTTAGGTCTTCTAAATGCATACTGCTTCTAATGTCATATCAATTATTGCTAGACTTTCTTTAAAGTAAATGTAAAAAAAAATTCAGTGGAGGGAAAAGAATCTAAACAAATAATGAATTATGAAAACATTAGATAGTGAACAAGACAAGCAGTGGAGAATGCAAGGGAAGTGTTAAACAGAAAGATGGCTAAGAAGTTTTTGACACACTTTCACTGCTAGAGAAACCAGTTGCACTATTCTAAATATTCTCTAGAATTTGCTATAAGCAGCAACTTTGTAGGTTATTATCTATTACGTAGGGAAAAAAATGGGATTGTGTAAGGTTCGGGAAAAGGTATGAAATCAGCACAGACAAAAAACGTTAATAACACTCAAATCTTGACCATTATCACAAGTTATGCTACACAAGAGTAAGGTCCTTATATTATATTACAATATTTTTACAATGGACTACAAATGAAGCTATCCCTCAAGAACAGTTTTTCAAATGATTCTGAGTTCCAAGTACTTAGAATTAGAAAGGTATTTAGTGAACTTAGTGCTACGATAAAAATGGCATAAAACTTTAAAATGTAAGTTTTAAAGATATTCTACATGTCATCCACCACTTCATTCCCCAGTTTTCTTTCTCTCGAAATGACAGCAAAGAACCAAATTAATTAAATTTCACTGGGAATAAGTTTAATGTACATTATCCTACAAAATCATATGAAGGATACAAAGTTGCTGCAATCAGTTTCTAACTATTCAATTCATTCCAACCAATGTCTTTTAAAAATAATTTCCATTCCACAGAGGATATGACATAGCTCAAGAATAAAATCTCACCATAAGCAATGATATAATAAACCATAAAGAAACTTATTGCTGGAAAATCAAAAAGGATGAAGATACTTGTTAATTAGGCCCCAAGATAAATGACACTTACTTCAAGTATTTAGATAAGTTGTCACTTAATTCTTTAGGGATGTAGTCAGATATTAAACCATGGGCATAACGAATGTAATCCTCTGAAAGAAATAAAAGAATAAAAGAAAAAAAAAAAAACAAGTAGTGATTATGATGGTTTTATAGTGAAATTTACCAGAGTTTCTATTCTCATTGTCTGCCTGATTAGCAAAATGGAGATGCTCTTTACTGTCTATCAGTGTCAAGGAGAAATGTCACCAATGAACTAGGGCACAGGATGATACCAAAGACAAGATAGTATACTGACACCATCAAATAACAGTAAAAATCAAAGAACAACTCAGGGGTGTTTTCTTAGCTGAGGCACTGAAATACAAATAAAATTTTTAAATGAGCTATTACAGCATGAGCTATACATATCACATTTAAGGTTAATCTTTTCTAAGTCTACTTTAACACAGAATAAATCTAATCTGAGTGTAATGAGTATATTCATATAAAAGAAATAAAAAATCATTGATATATTTCTATTACATATTTGCTTTATAAAAAAATCTCAAACATTATAGATATTTCCAAAACAACTTATTCAGTAGAATGTATACTAATCCTAGAGCCGCTAGACCTTCAGTATAAAAATAGAGCTCTGATATGAATTAAATAAATACCATCTGTTTCCAAATTCAGTTTCTTCATCCAGTATTGTGTACAGAATGTGGGGGCAATCAAGCTTAATCAGGGGTTGGGATAACCACAAGGAGAAATGAATTTCCAAAAGTTCGGTCTAATTTTGCTACCGGGACATTCATTTTCTTCCTTTTCTCCTTTCTGCTCTGCTTTCAAGCTATGGTAACAATGTGCCAGTATTATCTAGAAAACGACTACTGTCTGGGGACTACCTGATGTCAAAAATCTTAAAAAGGAGATTTTTCTATTATGTGGAACTAGAAGTTATCACTGGGCCCTTCTTAATATGTGCTTAGGGTTTTAGGACAGTACTTATCCAGTAGGGCTGAAGAAACAAAGGAAAACTACTTTAAGAAAGTCAGGACACAGTTCACTTGCTAAATCTGATACTAGGTCAAACCGGAGATCCAAGAAAACACTGATGAAGCGTACACACTTACTTTGAGGCTGGGACATTCAACAGCAATGTAACCCAGAGAACTGGAGATGTAGAGTCTGGGTAAAAGGGCTGAGCTTAGAGCAGAAGACTTTTCATACCTTTAGGATTTCTCTGAGACCAATTTTTAATTTTTAAAGTGAGTTCTGTTTAACCTCTAACATCTCTTCTACTCCTCTAACCAGTCTATAGCTCTACAGCACATTCATCCATCCATCTCCCCATTTGACTCATTTCTTCTTTTTCTTTCTCTTCTGTTGTTAATGTAGGGTACAGACAGTGATAACTTGTTTATGGCAAGTGTGCTGTCCACCACTCTCAGAACAGCAAAAGCCAGCTAGGTTAAGGTGTCATAAAATAATTTCTGAAAATCAAAGACTGCCTGAATTACTGCTGATCACAAACAGGCCATTTTTCCTCATGCTCATTTTTCATAGCTATATGCAGACATGGGGAGTTGTGCACGCTGTATATCCAGAACAAGGAAACACTGAATTGGAGCTTAAAGTCAAGAGTAATTCCTACCCTATCATTTGAGAATTTCAGTTGAATTATGTAACTTCTTATTCAATTATACATATAAAAATAAGGGGCTACTATATAAGAAAAATCGTAATAATAAACCTTAACAATAATAAGCCACATGCCAAGGGAACATTGCAACAAAAAGTTGAATAGTGTGGATTTTAGAGTGAGACAAGCTCCAGCATCAGCTCAGCTTTGCCACTGAACAGCTGAGTGACGTCAGAGACAGTCCTGACTCTCCTGAGACTTCCTGAGAAGGTCAGAGATCCCATCTGAATACCTGCAGTTTAGCCAAGGGCCTGGCACATGACACTCTCTCAAGAAAGGACAGTGTCTTAGATAGGATATCACTATTAGTATGAAACAACTACTTGCTGAGTGAATGATTCAAGGATCAATTCCTGACACAAGTGGCCCACGGTAGAAACACCTACCTACCCCAAGATCTATGTGAACATGGACAAGAATATGAAGCTTCTGTGCCATTCATTATGAGTTCTGAATCCTCACATAGGCATTTATACCTAAGCAACTTAACCCAAGATAGGAACTGGGTATATTTCTGATAAAATCACTTACTTACCTTCTTTATCACTGGAAACCTGATCACCAGAGAAAAATGCAGCTGACTGTACCCGGGCACCAACACTGACGTGATTGGCTTTTAAGGCTGCCACTGTCTGATTAACCTAGGAAGTAACCACCGGGGTGAATCAGGGTATTTTCAACTTAAGAAATTCGTGATGTTCCAGATGGCCCTAAATCCATTTATGATCTGGAAAAAAGTACGTGAGAACCTATGAGCATCTTGACTAGAATCAAAAGATGACATGGCTGCACAATGGGAGAGAGGCTGGGTCACAGCAACATTGGTGAGTGATTCCAATGCAAGGACTTCTAGTGACCTACCTGATATGAGTGGCGACATATTGTGACTGAGAACACTGACTGCAGTCTGTTTGCAGGGGTCTGCTGTGACCTGGACCTTTTAACTTTTATGTGACTGTGAAAAATGCCTTGGGGCATACAAACACTAGCTACCTCATAAAATGGCACAAAGCCTATCCACAATAATTTCTAACACCCTTCCCAAATTTCCTACTTCCTGAGAAACATAATAAATATAAACATAGCTGTGCAAGTCACTCTATTAACATTTCTTAAGAGCAAAAATGAAATGCCAAGGTTTTGTTCAGAATTTTTACCTACACAGGGTAACACTATTATAAGCATTACCGTAAGTGGAATACTACTTTGTATATTAAGAGCCTGATTAACTCATTTCTGTTTCCAGATTCCTAATGTATCAGTAACATCATATGACAGACAACATACACGAGACAAGGGAAATCAGCTTTTCTACAGTACTGGTGGTTGTTTTGTAGACTTCAGCCTACACTAAAAATATTCTGCAAACCAGTAGTCAGACACATATCTCAAAATACATTTCACAGAGCTATCCTTAATATTTACTCTTCCAAGGGGCCGGGGAAATGGCTCAGTAGAATAAGCACTTCCCTGGCAAGTGCAAGGGCCTGAGTTCAATCCCCGGTTCCACAAAACAAAACAAAACAAAACAAAACAAAACAAAACAAAACAAACCCAAAACATTTACCTTTCCTCTGTGCTGTATTTTCATTCATTCTGTCCTGTCTTAACCTATTCTATCCCGTTTTATTTCAAGAGAAATACTGGTAGTGACCTATTGACCTGACTTAAAAACTAAAGCTACAAATCTTTTTTTTCTTGTAAAGAAAAAAATCATTAAAGCATATACATAAAAATATTAGCTATGGAAGAACAACATTAAATAACATCTTATTCCACATTAGAAAGAAAAAAAAAGGACCAAAGGTGTAAGAAACTAGATTAATTAAAGGACTGAAAGAAAAGATCTGTTCTTTTTGAATTTTATACTTAGCAAACATACCTTTGAAAACTAAAAGTAAGATTTTCTAGTTATACAAACTTGAAATATTTTAATACCTCCAGAAGGAAGCTACAAATCTTATATAAACTCAAAAGTTTTACAGATCTTATATAAACTGAAAATGTTCAGAATGTATAAAATACAAGGTTTGCCTGGCAGAGACCCCTCTTCAGACTCCACACACTGAACACATACGCCCTCCTAGTCTACCCCAAGTTTCTTCTCTCCATCCCTGGCTGGCTAGGTGAGCAACTTTACCCTAGGAGACACCTGCTGGGTTAAAAGCAGCAATGTTCCAGTACTGTCCTGCTTGGAAGGCTCCATCCTGCACTAACTCAGCAGCATGAAACCTTTCATCCTGTGTTGACATGAAGGAGAAAGGACAATGCAGGCCAAACAACAAACAAAACCACATAGTTTTTAGTTGGTTATCAATCTGAGATTTCTCTATACAGCTTTCCTCTTTTTTAGTGGCTACACAGGATGCTCTCTGGATTTAGTCTTTCTGCCTTATCTATAGATTTTTTTTTTAAGATATTCTTATTTTTTTTTAAATGGCATTAGATAGAAACCATACATACCTTTTTTCCCAGCCACTTTAATGTTTTTTCTTTGCTGTATTTGTAATATTTCTTGTTGTCTATTTCTGGATTAAGTAAAAATGAAACAAACAAGAACAGTATAGTGAATTAAACAAACAAAGAAGAACTCTTAATGTTGTATCATATACAAGTTAACAATTTAACAATATTTCATAATAGCTAACATCCTTTAAAAAATCAAACTATAAACCAGACAGCATGCTTGAGACTTTAGGAAAACCACCAGACAGAGTGACTCAGAAGTCTTCCAACTAAATGAGAGAAAAGGTAAGAAATCAAATTATGCAAACAACTCTGTAGAAAAGATAATTTTTAAAACTAAGAAAATTAACCTACTAAGTAATCTTAATTTTTCTCCATCATTTTAAGTTTACTTCAATGTTTTCAATGAAATATTTCTTTTCTAAATTAAAAATGGAACTCTCAGGGGAAAGAAGTGAAACTAAAGGCAGATGTCTATGAAGTTCATTGCATATAATAAGGAGGGAGAAGTCTTGTTAACCCCTCAGTGCTAGCCTGGTGGGATTAGTGCAATAGAAAAGAATAGATATGTCTGTCTTTCAAAGTATTACGAATACAATCATGGCTAAGTCAAGGGAATTTAGATTTATGGTAGGCTCAACCTGGCTCCTTGTGGGGATAAAAAGCCACTTCCTATAAATTATACTTCCTTTCTTCACAATCCACCCAGCGTTATATATCACATCATTAAACCCGGATTTCCTCTACAACACTTTTCATTGATAATTTTTCCTTCCTGTGCAATTAGCAAAGGCAGTCCTCTCACTCTGGCCTCCTTTATGACCGGCAGGAGTAATCTTTGTGATCACTAGAAGCCCTCAGGCCAATGCAAACTCACCACCTGTGAGCCACATAGAGTGACGCTCTCTTTCCTTCTCTCCACATCATGGGAAATGGAAATTGTTTATTCAGGGATAGATGCTTGCAGTCTGCTAGGTGGTGTGTATGGGAGGGACTGGAAGTTCCCAGCCTTAGTCTGTACTCACTCACCTGCATTAAGCCTATGGCTATCAACATGATAGACAAGACAAGGCAGCACAGAGTGGGAGCTGGACCTCTGCATCCATTTTCAGAACATGTCACTGGAATAATAAGGAGGGACAGCCTCAAGGGATATGCTGCTTGAAGTGTGAGGATCCCAGCTGTCCTAGAGACAGGACTCCCAGACAAACAGCTTGTTATAGCAGCTGGGCCCCTAGGACTGGACTCAGTTTCTCTGGAGATGATGCTATGCACAAATGAAGGGAATTTAAGGTGCACACAGCAGGCATTCAATAACTGTATGTTGCTGGATGACTTTTAGACCTTCCATTCGGCACCTGAGACAAAGACTCTCCCAAAAAACAGGGCTGAAGTCTCTCCTAAAAAATTCTGCGGTCTGTCCTATTCACTGCTCTTTGGCTCCTACCTCCAAATTTCCCGATAGAGCTAAAATGTGCCAGTTTTTCTTTCTAGCCTCCAACCTTCTAAGCCCCTTGAGGGGTCTTTCCTATTCCTCTTAGAAATGGTCTCATGCAAGGGACACAACAAGCACTGTGGCGCATGCACACCCCAACAGGAATGGGCCCTGAAGAAGTCACCTCACTCTCAAAGCTTATTTCCTCCCACGTGAAGGGAATGTTCATCAGCGGCTTGAGGATGAAATGCTATAACATATATATATATATATATATATATATATATATATATATATATATATCCTATAGTATAACGCTTGACACACAGAAAACAGGATTAGCTAAGAAAAGTTAGTGACAGTGATATTTGTTCATGATAGTACCAGAAAGCAACATTTATTTAGGCTGCTTACATTTTCTCATTTCACTCAGAATGAGTCTCAGGTAAAAAACATTATTTGCCCATATTTTAGAAGACTGGGTTTAAGTGACATGAAGTAAACTCTACAAAATCCTGAGCAAGTAGCAACAGGACACAAAGAAAGACAATTTTAATACTGACTCTTCAATTTGTATGCTTTTTATGACTTGTCTTACAAAATCTATTAGGACTTCTACCACAATGGTCAATACAGGCAGTGAGAGGTATTGTTCTTGTTTGTCTTAGGGGAAAAGCACATTGTCTTTTACACTAGAGATGATAACAGAAACTTGCCACAGGTACCTTTGCCAGATTATGGGAGCTCCTACTATTTCTAATTTGCTATGAAATTATTTCATGGCTGAATTCTGTCAAATATTATTTTATTTCTATTGAAATGACCATATAGTTCTTTTGTATGTATAATAAATTTATGAATTACTCTAATTTTCTCATGCTTAATCATATTTGCCCTGCTGCAACAACCCTAACTTGGGTCTTATGTATTTGATTTTCCAATATCGTATTAAAATTTATTCAGGGTATGACAGCAAGAATTTGGTTTGGGTTACTTTTTGTAACAATTCTGATTGTGCTATTGGGGTAATTTTGATTCCATAAAATTCTTCTCTCATCTATATCCTGAAAGAAGAGTGAGTTCTTTGAGTATTATTTTTCCCCTTATAGTGTAATAGGCTTCGGCAGGGACACAAGCTAGGTTTGCAATTTTCTTTCTAGGAAGTTTTTACATTATAAGTTTATATCTACCTTATTGTACAGCTGCTGTAAAGATGATCACTGTATCCTACAATGCTACCAAAGACAAAGTATATAGACTGAGCTTAATTTAAAAATTTATAGATTTCAAAAAGGAAGGAGGGTTAATGTATTCATGATTGCCACAGACTGCCTACAATTATGAAAAATACCATTTGTCATGTGTGTCATAAACTTAACATTTGTGAGCCTTAGTGAGTTAGACAATATATGCTGGAAGGGCTTTTTCCCTTAAGTGTCTGGTGCCTATAAAACTGGCCTCAAACATCTGGAAAAATTGAGTTTACAAAATAAATATGGTGTAAGAGTAAGTCCACAATTAAATAACATGTTCAGCAATTGGGTAATCAGTTCACAAACTTAAATTTCCCTGATGTATTGTTGAACAAACTGCCTGGAGCATATTTTCAAGTCAACTTTCTTAATGTTTCTTATAATGAAGAAACTCACATGGTCCCTTTTTTCTCTAACCTCCTGGGTACTGAAACTTGGCAACTGCAATTGGAGTCTTTTAATCAGGTAAGTTTTCCTGGCTCTTCCTGTTAATTGCATCAGATAGGCCATTGAAGTTTTGGCTTGAAATATGAAGCAGAAAGTTACAGCAAAGGCAAAGTTCATGACCCTTTGTTCATCTCTCCTCTGAATGTGAGGCTCTTTGACAAGAAATGTGCTCAGAATGCCAGAGCCAGCAAACACAGACATGGTATTCCATTTCTAATAAAGCAGGCAAGGCTAAAGTCATGGCCACCACTGTCGGGCTGGGCTTATTCTGGACCTTAGAAGGCCAGAGGAGTCCATTCTCTCAAATCCAGCAGACTTGACTTGATCTACAAAGGTCACAGACACCCCAGCATGCATCTGGAATTCAGTAAGAAAATATCTGGAAAGAGATTTGAACATTTCAGGCTTTATTCTATCCACACAAATGCCTCTGAAAAGGATGGAAATTAAAAAAAATAAAATCAGCTTTCTTCTTTGATTATTCTCCCTGTCATACATATATTTTGCCTTATTTTTCTTAAAAATCTAGAAATAAACAACAGAGAATGAAAACAAACATTATTTATAAATGGACAAAAATTTAAAGTAAGCAGCCAGTCCTCAACTCAATCACCAAAAGGCTACCTTGTAGGGAACTATATACAGTGCCTGAAAACTTATGAAACCCTTCGTAGGGATAAAAGTTTTTTAGTCCTTAAGATATTCCACATCTATCTGCTTTCCTGCCTACTTCTTGTGCTACCTAGATGGAAATTATTATGAGGAGATACAGTAGAGGCTTTAAATACAAATCTCTCAATTTTATTTGTATCTGAGACACTACCTAAAAACTCTAGCAGATAACTTGAAAGGGCTGTAATAGGGAAGGGCAGGGGCCCCTGCCTGACGAACACATGTACAAATCCTGGTTCTACTTCACGTTCTGTGATGTCAGTGAAGTTACTGCAACTCTTTGAGCCTTTGCTTCCTCACTTCTAAAGTTGCAGATCATAGTAACAATGACAGGAAATTACTGGAAGGATTAGATAATCATATGCATAAAATAACAAGTATGGTCATTCTTCATGTCCTATGCTTTATCTTTTTTGTTGTTGCAGTACAGGAGATTGAACTTCGAACCTTGTGTTTGCCAAGCAGGTGCTTATGCTGCTGAGCTATTTCCCCAGTCCTGTACCTTTTTTTGACAGGCTCTATTAATCATTATAAAGCTAAATCATTATAATGATGGAAATTTCCTGTGAATCATGGAAAAATATGTTCATCCTAGTATACTGTCCTTGAACACAGACCTTATAAAGAAAACTATTTCATGTATTTACATTTTGGGTGAAGGAGTGAAGTAAATAATGTAAAACTGCTTGTGTGAATTCTGATAAGCCTTAATGAAGAAAGGCATGACACATTTATGATTTATTTTTCCTTCTAAATGTTTTAAAATTATCTGGTTTTGTTTTTAAACTGTCCATTATGTCAAATTTAGAGGCTACAGTTTATTAAGAGAAGACAATATCAATAACAAATCTCTGTCAATTTGTATCTTTTACTGTGTGACATTTAATCTGCAGTACTTTGCTTGGGCTTCCTATCATTTAAGCATGAAACTTTGAGCTCTTGGATTTTAGAAATTTGACAGATAGATAGATAGATAGATAGATCAATTAGACAGACAGACAGACAGACAGACAGACAGACAGACAGACAGACAAGACAAGACAAGACAAGACAAGACAAGACAAGACAAGACAAGACAAGACAGACCTAAGTTGAACACAGAAGCGCAGTCCTTCTAACTGGCAATGTTGAGGTCAAGGAGAATAGGACAGAGGTTCACACAAAAGTACACCTAGCTGGTTATTTTCTGTGCAAGCAGGATGAACTGAGAATAAAGCCCTTGCTTTCAAGTTGGGACATGAAGTAAAAAAAATGCACAAGTATTAACACTGTTTAATAATCTGCGTCTCTGGGTTTTGCCTTAAGGTAGCTATTTTTATAATGGTGGGATTCTGGATATAAGTTAATTCCATTTTTGAGTTAAATTGACAAAAATTAAAAATGCCTATAATTATTCATTATGTTAGCTTTCAAAGATGGTTGTGCATTATTTTGTTTGTCACTCGCAAAAGGCTTGCATCTTCTGCAAATATGGCACCAGGAAACGTCTTCAGTGGGACTGCTTTGATACAATCTGGACACTAAACCCCCTCATATCCAAACTGGAGTCTCAAGCGCATCCAAGAATTAGAGGACCCCTCACATGTGAAATGTAACCTCAGGGCTCTCGTAAGTGGACACACCTTGGAATCACCCATCTTGGTCCCAGAAGAACTGTCACAGTGAGCCAGACCAACTGTGACCCCCAAGCAATCATAACTTATTGGCCTACTGTTCTCAATTTCATACTGTGTTTCCAGATTAACCCTGAGACTACTTGGATGAGTTATGGAGACAGTGGTGCTAAGTCTGCCCAGTGTTTTTGACTTGCAAATCATATTTGTCCTTAATGCCTCACTTGCTTTTCTCATTATTTTTCCTTCCTTTTCTCAAAATTCAAGTGCATAATATCTAAAATTACCTCACCCTCCAGCTGCTACTCTAGCCCATGCTCCCATCTCCAAGAGAGCATGACACAGTCTGTGGGTCAAGGTATACGCCCAGGAGCCATTCTAGATTTCTCTCTCTCTTTTTTTTTTTTTTTTTTTTCTTGGCTGGAACCAAGGATTGAATTCAGGCCCTTGTGCTTGCCAGACAAGCGCTTATTCTACTGAGCTATCTCCCCAGCCCCTAGATTCCTCTTTATCCTTGATCGCTACCTAGTGACTCATGTGGTTGGCTCCACCACTTAACTGCACTTCCTTCCAGTACCATCTCTTAAGCGCAGGCTCCCATGACCTGCCATCTAGATAACAGCAATGTCCTACAGACCTGGATTTGGCTTCACTTAGCACTGTACTGATAAAAATTTTATAGACATGCTATCACCATTAGGTCAAGCCCAGATGTGTTTAAGGCCCCTCCCATCTGGACTCTTGCTTAGCATTTCTATCCCCCTCTTTACTGCCTAAATTCCTCCCCAGCACCCTCTATGCTAGAGAGCAGCTTACTCTAGCTACATTAACTTCCTTGGGATTCCTATGCATAACCACCTTTTCTACAAGTCCATGCCTTTTTCACACTTCGGCTGGGCTCATTCTCTAAGGCTCTACTGAGGACATTTTTGTACTCAGAAAGCAAAAGATCTCCACCTACCTATGCTCTCCACTCAAATCAAGTCTGTCCTGAGGCATCCCAGGAAATACAGGATTTACTGCCTTTACACCATCCTGGTATTACCCTGCTTGTCATTTGCCACCATCTCACTCAAAGCAAAGTGACACAAGGGACAATGCCTTACTTGTCCTTAAAGCCTAGTGCTAGTGTTCAACATATGGTGCTCAGCAGGTGTTCAATAAACACTCTAGGCATTAGTAACATTAAACTGCTGAAAAGCACAAGGTTGTGTGTTTAATTCCTGGTACTAAAACAAAACAAAATAACAACAACAACAAAAAACCCAAAAAGCAGTATTCATCAAACAAAGGATTAATTAGACTTTACAAAGAACTCAAAAACAAAAACTAATCAAACAAAAAAAAAACCCAAAACTAAGACTCTGCAAATTTGAAGACCCAATTAAAAAAATGGGCATCTGAAATGAACAGATATTTCTCAGAGGAAGAAGTAGAAACAACAAATAAATATATGGAAAACTATTCACCATCCCTGGTCATCTGAGATGGAAATTAAAGCAACGCTGAGATTCCATCTCATTCTAGGGAGAATGGCTATTAGTAAGAAATCAATCAATAAATGCTGGTGGTGCTGTGGGGAAAAAGGAACCCTTCTCCACTGTTGGTGGTAGTGTAGACTGGTACAACCACTGCAGAATTCAGTGTGGAGATTCCTTAAAAAACTAAAGCTAGAGGTACCATTTGACCCAGCTGTTCATCTTCTAGGCATCTTCCTGAAAGAATTAAAAGCTTCATACCACAGTGACATACATACACACCCATGCCTAGAGCATCCAGTTTGTGATAGCTAAATCTTGGAAGCAGCCCTAACACGTATTGACAGATAAATGGATGAAGATTTTTTATTTTTATTTTATTTCTTTGTGGTACCAGGGACTGAACTCAGGACCTTGCACTTCCTAGGCAAGTTTGTATTCTACTGAGCTATCTCCCTAGCCCAAAGATTTTTTTTATACAATGGAGTACTACCTCAGCACTAAAGAAGGATGAACTTGAGACATTTCTAGCTAAATGGATGTACCTTGAGATCATACTCTTAAGTGAAATAAATTGGACACCTATGTTTAAGTACTCAATCATCTGTCTGATGTGAGAAACTGCAAGCGTAAATGAGGACCAAAATGTGCAACAGGTACTGGGAAATACAAGAAAATGTTCAAAAGAGAAAGGGAACAACGTAGGCAGGAAGGATAAAAGAAGGGATAAAAAGAGAACAGAAGGGAAAAAAAAAGGAAACAAAGCTTTTTTTAAATGAAGAGGGGAAAGAGTTGAAAGGAAGAGAGGGAGATGGGAAAATAAGCAGCAGTAAGGTATGTCATGTACAGATACAGATTCCCCATGATTAATAGGATCGCTGTGTATACCTAAAATGTACTACTAAAAGATAAGAGGATAAAAATAAGTCTCATAGCCAGAGAGTCTCTAAGTGGCTACATTCTCAGATAAAGGCCCAGCCTTTCTACTAACTATAGCCTGACTTCAAAAGTCGACATTACAAACCTTTTTCATCTGTCACATGATGAAGTAACTTCTCAAGTTCTAGAACTTTCAGTAACAAAATGCAATCTGGAAATATGTCATCCATCACAACTTGATCTAGGGGTTGAAATTTTTCCTAAAACAAAACAAAACAAACTCTACTTCAGTCAGAATGCAAGCACTGCAGTCAAGAAACTTTCATACAAAAAACTAAAAGGACATACTACCTCAACTACCTTTCAACTTAACTCAGAGCCCCCTGTTCCATTTTAGGAACTTTCAAAGCATGTAGGACTGACCCTCAACACCCTCCAGGAAGGTCTTGTGAGTTCTGAGTTTCTAAGTAGCCTGCTGTGCACCTACAGAATATAGGCACTGCCTGAAGCAGTGGAACAAAGTTGTAGAAAAGCACAGGAAGCCACAGAACTTGCCAAGATGGTAGATTTCCAAGAGCCAATCCAAGCATTCAATATGAAGAGCCAGCTGAGGTAACAGAGCAGGAGTCCTGATGAATACAGCCGTGAACATGCCTAGAGAAGGCCCAGAACACACCTGCTTTCCTGTCCTCACTCGAGGGCTGAAGAAAGAAAAACTCACTAGAAAAAGAAAAACACAAAAAGTGAAAGAGCTGTCAAAAAATGTTTCTAAATTTAGACAACAAAAGAAAATAGAGCGCTGAGCCAGGGAGATGGCTCAGTGGAATAAGTGCTTCTCTGGCAAGCACAAAGGCCAGAGTTCAATCCCCAGTTCCACCAAAAAAAAAAAAAAAAAAAAGAAAAGAAAAGAAAATAGAGGGCTAAGTTCAAACAAGAGGCAGATAGGTGAAATCAGGAGCAGCCAGAGAAGGCTTGGTTGAAAAAGGAGGAGACATTCGGCCACTTAGGTTTAGTGTTTCTTGACTTGTTGCAGGAGGAAGTTTGTCTAAATGAAAATATTGGTCTGATTATGGGAGGCCAGGCTTTATAAAAGAGGTAGAGCTTTGCCAATGTCATTGTTATGATTGGTACATTTGTCAACTTGAGGAGTGTAGAAGCTTCACTAAGTAACAGAGCAGTTCTATATCGTGGGGTGAGAAGCACATGTCCTTACTACTCTAGGATGTCATTCTCTGGTCAACTTGAGAAGTTTGTGTTAACTATGTGCAAGAGGAAGGCAGCGTGGGTATAAAGAGCAGAAGGCTGAACACAGTAAAAGGGAAAGGACCAAATGCTGAGCCTTTGGAGGAGCTCTATAGTTTCTGCCTTCAGCTTGCTTCTGCTGTAGACTGTTTCCACTCTGCCTGGGATTCTTCAGCCTTTTAGTATAAACTTGTCAGCTTTCCTTGTAGATTCTTCAGCATTTCCTCACAGACCCATCAGCCTCCTGACAGGGACTTGCACACACTGCAGTGAGCTCCAGACCATGGACTGTACCCTTCAGTCTCCAGCTGCAGACACCTTCCACATGCTTCCTGATCCCACTCTGTGACTGACCAGTGTGAACCAAACATGTAATTTCTTATGTTTGTGTATCTTATGTCCTATCTGTTTCTCTAGTAAACACTGGTACAGTCAGACTTCTGCTTCTTTTGTAGTGAAGACAGAAAAACTGAGTTACCAGTTTCCCTTCTGCAAATGTAGCTTTCTTTAGTTTTAAGAATGAAATATTTTCATTCACTCAGTAGAACACAAGGTAACTTGCCTTTAATAAGTGGTAAGAAAAGCCTTGACTTAAATGTTTTCATCTTCTTCAAATTACACATTTCCTAACTTTGTTGTTAGATTTCTACCTCAAATCCAGGCTTCCATGATCAACCAACATTTTACATATTTTATGACTCCAAAATAATATTCTCCCTGTGAATTTACCTTAGAAAACACCTCAGAGACAAGCCAATCGAAGTTTTTAACTTCATTTCTGAATTCTCCCAGGGTGGAGACCAGAACCACCTCTCTTCTTTGGACAGACAACTGACTACTCTCACCACTTGTGTGCCTGATTATTATGGTAGCCTCTATAGAAGTGGGAACTAAGAAACAGAACTTCACTAGTCCACAGAAGGCAGAAAAGATAGAGAAGGTAAGTTGCACCTACATTCTTGAATAAAAGTTTTAAGTTGGTTTCATTACTCTGAGTACTTATAACAATTTAAAATTGATTTATGTATAAAATAAAGTTTAGGAATTTGGTTTAAGGATCAAGTAAACTGAACCTATAAGCATCTAAACAACATGCTAACATAAAGGCTCAAAGCCTCAGATTTTCCAAGCACTCTAAAATATATTTATTCCTTAAAGTTACTAACTCAAAGATTTTCAAACTGGTTGATGGATTCCTGAGAGTCTCCAGTTCCCATTTATGGGGTCCCCAGGCTCAAAACTACTTTAAAATAATGAAGATGCTACTTGCATTTTTTTTTTCTTTTCAAAGTTTTTTTGATAAACATATAGCAATGAGACAGTTTCAAATCAAATCGAAAGTACAGTTTCAACAAATAATACACTGCATATATTCTTCTTAGTGGTTAATTCCTGTACAAGATGCAGACTTGTGATCCTACTTACAAACACCATTAGAAAAAATCATTCTATTAAGAGAATGCAACTATATATCTATCCCAACCACTTTGAATACAGATACAAAATGGACATTCATTATACCCCAATTTTTTTTTAAGTTCCGTTGTTGAATATTATAGGTGTGTAAACTCAGCAAAATATTCTAAAAGAGTACAGAAGCCCATAATAGCATTGGGTCTTCTGTTTAATTGGCAATGTCAGAAATTATTGACGTGAGTCCCCCACAGCTCAACATAACAACATGGCTTTACTTCCTATATTTCATCTTCATACTTTTCTACTGGATGGTTAAGACCAAGGTAAAGCAGAACCTATGCAACAAGAGTTGTAGCTTTTTGGTTTGAGAAGGTCAGTGAAATGCCCTCAGGATTTATCCTGAGATCCTGTACCTCAGATTGTAGAACCTTTGTCAGTGCAGCCATGTGGATGAGTCACGGCCATTGCTTGGCCAATGTGCTCTCTGTGAAAGCCTGAGAGAGTGTCTTCTCCTCATGTGACTCTCCTTAGGCACACTCCACGTCATCGATCAATTTCCTCTTTGGCCCCATAACCTTCTTGATCAGAAAATCTGGGACACTACCGAGGTACTTGACGTTACAGTACAAGTTCTCATATGTCCTGAGTCTTAACTGACCTTAGAAGGGTAGGGCCAAAATATTGGCTTTCCTTGTAGCCCTCCTTTTTCTCTAATTTTGGTCTGCAAACTTAGGTTGTTAACCATCCAGAAGAAAAGCTTATTGTTATTCTCAAACGATTTACGTTATCAAGCTTAACCTCACTATTTCACTACATTTCAAACATCTTAGGCATAATAAGGAACAGGTATTTTTCATCAAGTATTGATATGTTAAACCTTAAGTCCCTACATAATATGATAAAGAACATTTAAAAATTAGATTATATTTTAAAAATAGGATAAAGAATTCTATGCTTCTCATGTTTGCACATAAGTCCAAAAATCTCACTATATACAACCTTGAAGCAGGACTGTCCCACAGTATTCCTTTTCCTGTCTCTTGCTTTCATTCATCATCCCCTTCTTCTTGAACATCCACCTACCCGAGAGACATCTTAGCAGTAACAGGCATGTCATGACAAGCAGCCCGTGTTCAGAATACCACATTGACAGGCTACTTGCATTTTTACCATGCTGGCATGTACACTGATATTTCAAAGGCAACAGTGGGTGTACTGCTGGCTCCTTTGCTGGAGTCCAACAGGCGGTGGCATCAAACTGTCCTGGCAGTCATCATAGTCTTCATTGCTATGTGCTTGCAGTTTTTACCTTTAAATTTGTTTAATCTTTCTTTTATTTTAAAGAGAATTAAACATTAAAACAAAAGTTTTACAATGAGATGACAGAAAATCAATGATTTTTATATTACATAGTTATCTTCAAAGTAGTTGCTCAGATTATCAGATATAAGCATGCAAAATTGGTCAAATTTTTTTAATTAAGCATTAGCTGTCCCTTTCAATAAACCATAGCAATTAGTAGTTCAATTATCTTAACTTTCTTGTATGTGTATTTATAGATATATTTTTCTTTCTTTTCTCCTTGTCCTCATCCTACTTGTTCTTTCCTTTTTTTTATGTATTTCATACAGGGTCTACAGGGTCTCACTACACAGATCTGACTTACAGTGATCCTGCTTATCAGCCTCCGAAGTGCTGGGATTACAGGTGCATGCCATCACATGCCCAGTCTCAATCACTGTCTCAGGTTGGGGAGATAGCTCAATACAATGAGCGCTTGCCTGGCAAGTGCAAGGTCCTGAGTTCAATTCCCAGTACCGCAAAAGAAAGAAAAAAATCATCACTGTTTCAGCATGCCCTGGGGGCGGGGCTGGCACGGCAGGCCCAGGATCCAGCCCCTGACCCCTGCGTCTGCCTAAGCAGGTGCTTTAATCACTGACTATCTGGCCAGCCCTGTTTTTTCCTTTTGAATAGTTTCTTTCCCTTTCACAGTATCTACTGTATTTTTCAGATTTTGTTCACTCTTCCAGTTTCTTACACTAGGGAGACAATACAATGCTAGTATCATCTAAGAATATAGTTGGTAAGTACTAAAAGCAATTAATTCTACTTAACTCCTGACCCTCAAAGTCTCATAAACACTCTGGTGAAAGTGATGTTAGCTAAAGCAGCTCTGCTTCTTTGCCTCCAGGAGAAGGTCCCATGAGACTGAGCGGCCATCAGAACCAGAACCTATTTGTGGACATCATTTTTATTTGAAGAACCCATTATGAAATGATTACTTCAGAGTCATGCATTGGGCAGGATGTAAGTGGAATATGTCTGTCACTGAAAGGGACACAGGACCTGCAGCCCATGATAACATTCAAGCTGTCAAGCAGAACTTAAAACTTACTAGGAGAGCTTTTCAATACTTATAAAAATTTTTCTGAAGAAACCAGTGGTGATATTTACTCCTATAGCATGTCTCCTCATATTGCAATTTTAAAAATTCTTATTCTTTGTAGTGTATGCTTACAGCACAAAATGATTACAATCACTGTGAGGAGCTGGTATGTAACCCATCTTAAGGGTTTCTATGTCCCCTTCTCCTCTTCCCATT